TATTACGATGTTTGCGTGGTGTTACAGCGCGAGACAAGTTGTAAAAGTGGTAGTGTTTGAAATAGTGCGATTGTATTGTTTTGGTTGAGATATTTTTCATTGGAATTAGAACCCGTGGGCAGATAACCCAGAACCCAATCAGTCTGATGTCGGCTAAAAATAAATCTGCCTAGCATTCTGATAAACATGTGGTACGTAATGAACACAAATTATCGCGTTTGACATTGCCACGTAATTTGTATTCGTGTTTGACCTTACAAATATATTACCGGCAGGCATGTGTCTGGCTTCCACTGTTGATTTCTGGCACCCCATTCCCCTCGACAAAACGAGGCCCTGGGTCCCTCGTTTCGGCTGGTTCTTACATTGCCACCAGATTACCACTTTCATTACCACTTTCATTTCATTACCACATTTCATTACCATTACCATTTCATTACACCGTGGTTCTTGGGATTACACGGGTTATTTTGCAAACGCCAAGCTTTGGCTCCTGGTTCTCGCTGATTGTTGCTAAACTCAACATACGATTATAAGGCAGGCCGTTGGTGGTGGGCAGCGCCAGGAGCGGGGCCGTATCTCAAGGCCAGGATTTCTCGCCGCGTAGGATGAGCCGGACGGTCACGTCGTCCGGCGCCATGACCAGCGCCAGGAACGTGAAGCCGAGCGGACGACATTCTGTGACGTACGGACACCCGTAGCTCGGCCCGTAGCCGCGGACAGGCGTGACGGCCCCGGGATTGTAACGCCGTTAACGAGTGGGACGACGCCCACCTGCGGGCGCAAGGCCAAGCAGGTCCGGAGCCAGCAGCATGCCACTGCTGGTGTCACACGGGCTGGTGCTCACGCCCGGTGAACAGCTCTGTCAGTTTATGATATTCAGTATATTGAAAATGATATACTTCCAAGATGGGTTGAGTGGTGTTCGGTCGTTTTTCATACTCTACCACATCCCATGACACCTATCACCCAACCAAGATGATGCTTGACACCAGACAGTGCACAGATCACTGACACAGCCATACTTCCCATAGCAATCCCTTAAATAACGGCCAAGAAACATCACCTCATTGTTAAACTCATCTGAGTCAACACTTATCAGCATATGATGGCAGATTCCCGATGCCGACGCCCACTATGGTTTCAAATCCCAAGCCTTACCTCGATAATTTTGATTGGGACTGTCATAGAACAGCGTCACATCACTGTGTCAAATAAGCCGTTGAAGCCAAATGAGCACCTCCAATAAAAATAAACGGCATGGAACTTGACAGCTGGGTTTCATTCATTCTTGCCAGTGCCAACTCTGAGGTAATCCGAAATTCTACGCTTGAAATCAGTCGGATATCTCTTGCAACACCGGAATTTCGCGCACTACCGACCGAGGCAAGAACAGCGCTCAGTACGAGCTTTTTCCCGATGCCGCGGGGTTAACCACCACGGCAGCCGAGGTTTCACGGGGCTGAAGCTGTGACGACACCGATTCCTCTGACTAGTTATAGCCTTAGATTGACGTCCGAATTCACAGCAGGGGTTTAGAAACAGCGACACTTTTTGTCATGCTTTAGATACTGAGAACACCTACCTGCGCACGTCTGTACTTATGGTACACTTCTATCCTTCAAATAAGATTGGCTGAAGTGGCACGCCCAGGATTGCGCCCGGGAGGTGCCAGGAAGCAGACCCCCCCCCCCCCCCCCCCACCCTCTGCGTGTCAACATTCAGCATTCAACATCCTTCATCGTTTCCCTATAGCTCATCCACGAAAACTGGAATCCATCACACGCGCAGACGCCCCCACGCACCACGTGCGGAAAGGATGACGTTCCAAGCTCAGTTGAAAATTCGGGAGAAAAGGTTGACGGTCTCTTCGTTGACGGGGGGAAATATATTACAGGTGAATGATCCAGTTCATTAGTAATTCAATCAAATTCAAACATCAGTAATTAACTGGGCGTTTTAGAGACCTTTGACATGGTGGCTGTGCTAGCCTGTATTGAGAACAGCCTGGGGTTGCAGCAGCGATCGAAGCCCACGGTGTTATTGTGCTTCAGCGTCGCATGGGCCTAACTCAGTGGGCGCTTTTCACGACGGTAATGTTGTTTAGACCAGGCTATTCAGTCTGAATACTGGCGAGACGGAACACGACTTATGGCTAACTGACTCACGAAGCTGCGTCACAACTTACCGCTGAACCAGGTAAACAGTCTCGCCAGTTCGACTAATACATGAGCGGATGTTTTATGACTTAGTCTTGTTCCACTCCCAACTGCATGTAGATGATGCACAGAGCTGAGCTCCTTCTCATGTTTGCGGGTTCTAGCCGCAAGTTGGCGAGATTGTGGCGCGGCGTCTCCGCCCGCTGATCAGAGCGTTGACAGAGCTGCCGGCCCAGCTCGTCTGTAACGGAGCGTTGACAGAGCTGCCGGCCCAGCTCGTCTGTAACGGAGCGCTCGTTGTCGGCCGCCGCTGCGCAGTATCTGGGCCGTCGCGTGGCGGCGCCGGTGTCCTGCACTCTCGGCCCCACGCGACAAGTGGGGCCGCTCGAGAGCGCTCGGCTCGGCCCACCGACATGCCGACGGCCCTGCAGCTCGCCGCGACCCGGTCGAGATAACGACAGCATACGGCATATGCTCGTCACAGCTGAGCTGTGGTAATGGCGCGTGGTCTTGCATAGACACGCTCAGGCTAACGTCTCTGCGTCGCTACGGCGATTGGCGTTTGGCATCGGTGATTAGCCGTAGGAGGACCGGCCGTTTGGCGTCGGTGATTGGCCGTAGGAGGATCGGCTTTTTGGCGTCGGTGATTGGCCGTAGGATGATTGGCCTTTTGGCATCGGGGCTCTCATGTCGTCATGTGGCGTGACGTCAACTCGTTATAACGCCAGGCGCGTGGTGCTTCCCCACGCCCTGTTATCTTGCTGTCGCGCGTGCCCCGGCAGGGGCAGGGGTGCCACCCCCACCGTCCCTGGCATCACCAAAGGCAGGTGGTCACACCAGAGTCAGAGTCGAGTGAGTCGCCGCGCTTGCTACAAAGAAGAAGAGAAAATAACTCAACAGGAGCGAGCGATACCGTAAACTCATGGTTCCGCCGCACGCCCGCACGTCATGGTGCCCACGGCCTCGGTCGGCGCGAGCGTGACGTGAGGTGCCCGCCTGACCGGCGCCTGTTGGCTGCAGCATCATCTCGACGCACGACGCGTGCTGCGAGCAGCTGGTCAGCAGCGACCTCAGCTTCCGCGCCTGCATCAAGGTGCTCAAGAAGTACCCCGGCGCCAACGCCATCGTGGTGCGCCTCGGCTACGCGCTCGGCAACCTCATGGCCCGCTCCGAGCCGGCCCGGGTCAAGGTGAGGTCAAGGTCGTGGGGGTTTGCTGATGCTGGCAGCGGCCGAGGTCAGGGCGGCGGCGCCTGAGCTGGTGGAGGTCGGGTGGGACCACTGTCAGGGGTGCTGCGATCTGAGCAGGCCGCGGAGGTTTGGCGCCACGACCGGTCTGATGTGCCAGGTCGTGTTTGGGTTGGTGGTCGGACAGGACTGGGTCTGAGTGGGCTGTGTGGGACCCTATCAGCGCTGTGAGCCATGCAGCCATCGGTGGAGTACTCTGCTCGCCTGCTGCGGCGCTGTCACATTTCGAGCGCCCTCAGGTACCCAGACGCTCTGCGGGTCGATGAGGCCCAGATTGATTCAGCCTGATATGTCATAGCCTTTGGAGTTGGACCGCTGGTATGGGAGACTCAATGATATCAATCAGCGATTTGTAGATAAAATGGGGCTTTTGACCTTCACTTTAATATTCCACATTCATCCATGTTCAACATGCAATCACATTTCGATATCTGACGTCTGATAGCGTTCGGTAGCGCACCGTTACACCGCCTGCCTTCAGGACGTATGCGGAAATATTTATGACTCGGAGCAGGCGCCAGCGCTGCCCGAGCAAACCAGCCACATTCCAATCCCCGATCCCGTTTGCCCGACGTCTGCCCGCCAACTTTTCTCCGCCGGCTGTGAGACCGGCGACCGAGTCCGCGTCCTGACGGCGCCGCGCTGGCCGCCGGCAGTTCTTCAAGGAGGCCGACGCCCTGGACACGCTGCTGCACCTGCTGGAGCTGTACTCGCGGCAGACGGCCGCAGCCCGGCCGCCGGAGCAGGCCGAGCCGGCGGCCGACGGCGCGCCGCCCGACCCCGGCGCGCTCAGCGGCACGCCGGAGGACGTCATCGTCAAGGTCTGGATGTCTGGGTCTGATGTCTGGGACCGGCGCGGTACGGGGCTGCTGGTGGCGTCACCGGCGGCGCCCCAGGAGACGTCATCGCCAAGGCGCGGCTGGCACGGTGGAGGGGCCAACGGATTCCCTCACCGTGCGGACTGTTGTGCGTGGAAACCTGAAGACCTTGAAATGCACTGCCGTGTTTTTGTGGTCTGCGTGTCGTTCGCTAGCAAAGTGGGGCGGTGTTTTTCACGCCAAGTGCGATGGCCAGGCGAAATCGATTCAGCCCAACGTAATTGGGAACCAGACCTTGCTTCGAGTCAAATTTACTTATCAAATCGCGGCTTGAATCAGCTGATGATTCAAGCACGTTGGCAAGGTTGGTTCTGACCTTTGAATAAGACAAAACGCCATGTTTTCGGGAATCGAACTGGAGTGACTCAAATGCAATCAGACATCGCCAGTAGAAGACCACGTGGCAACCACTTGGCCGTAACTTCAGAAACTGGCCATGCCATCCAAGGAACCTGTAGACTGCTAATAGAACGGGCGGAATTATATGTATTGCACTCATTTTGGGGGGAGGGGGAGGAGATGGTGAATCGGTGCAGCCGAACCCAATGCGACTTGAATGGCGAATGTTTAGTACTCAGGCACATAGTTACCGGATAAACCTCAGCAAAGCAAAGCCTATACCGCTCTCAAAGTAAGCCCAGTGTGCGGCGACCGCAGCCTGACTCGGGCCGCTGGCGCGGCTCCGCGCGGTAATGGCGGCCGATGTTTCAGCTGGTGCGTGTGGTGGCCAACATGGTGATCAACGAGGAGGTGGGGTCGGTGGTGTCCGGCTCGGCCGCGTGCCTCAGCGTGCTGCTCGGCGTCCTCCGCACACATAGGTCAGCCGGCAGGCGGTGACCTCGGATAGCACGCAGCTGGTGACCTCAGACAGCCAGCAGCCGGTGACCTCAGACGGTCAGCAGCCGGTGACATCAGCCGGCAACCAGTGACCTCAGACAGCCAGCAACCGGTGACCTCAGACGGCCAGCAGCCGGTGACATCAGACAGACAGCAGCCGGTGACCTCAGACGGCCAGAAACCAGTGACCTCAGACAGACAGCAGCCGGTGACCTCAGACGGCCAGCAACCGGTGACCTCAGACAGACAGCAACCGGTGACCTCAGACAGACAGCGCCCGCTGGGACCATGGAATGTCTTTCCGACATTATAACCGAGGCTTGGCTTTGACGGGGACCATTTGCAGGCCACCCGGCGAAGGGCTGGGCTGGTGATACATAGCGCGTCATTGTTACGTGTACAGCTCTCGTCAGTTAGCGAGATGGTCGTCTCAGGTTTAGCGGGAAACTTGAGGGAAATATGCGGGGAATTCGCGCTTGGATCTGTATTTCCGCTGCGACAAGCCAGGCTGAGGTGAGACCTCACTCTCGCGAGAGTCTTCGTGCCAGTGTGGAGTCGCGCGGTGACCTGACTGCCGCCCATCTCCACCGGCGCCGACAGTGTGGACGAGCACGAGGAGCTGGTGCTGTCGTCGCTCTCGATGCTCAACAACCTGACCTTCTACGCCACCGAGGAGAGCGTGGTGTTCGAACGCCAGGCCGAGGTCACGCACTGTGAGTGGGACTCAGCTGCGGGGGGTCCGCAGAAAGGCAGATCAGGGCCGGTGCCGGCGCCGGACCGCTCTGACCGGGGTCGGCGGAGGTGTCGGCAGGGTGAAGACGTCTCCGTCAGGCTGAGGAACAGCCATTGTCTCCAGCCTGTATGTAGCTAAGCCACTTCTACTAACCGTGCAAGTTAGAAGAACGTTATACAGCTTTGATGCTCGAGCTGTACATATTTTGATGCATTTTAAATCAGTGTATATAATCATCGTGCTTGTGACGAGGCCCTGACAGTGTCGCGACAAGCAGGCAGCGCGCGGCACTTGTAGCGACTGGTGGATGCACCCTCGCGCCACCTTTCTGGGTATGTGCGTGTTTGGTGTTCGAGGCATTGACGCTCCTGATACGCGCGTCCCGTGGAAGCACGTATCGCGTGCGACTCGGTGCCAGTTTGGCCGCCGCCAGTTATTTAGGGTTGTCGGGCGGCTGGTCCGGCCCAGATCGATCAGCAGGCGTCGCTGATCGATCGGCCGAACATCTCCACATATCGCACGCTCCCGGGCCGGGGCCAGTCAACCGCCTAGCTTATGCTATAGATATTGGAAATCGATAATCGACGCTGCATATTACCACCACGCTGAGGGGCTCTGTTCATTGCCAAGGTCGGCGGGGTCACCGCGTGTCCGTTCGCTTCTGCAGGCCTGTGCGGAATGCTGAGGCACGAGCACACCGAGTGTCAGATCGAGGTACTTCGAGTGTTTGGAAATCTCACCAGGTGGCCAGCCGTCAGGGAGGCTCTCGCCGACAGACAAGGTCAGGCGTGGGGACAAGCATAGGCCGTATTTTGCCCGGACGGAATCATGACCGGACACAGCTGGAGGCCTTCGATGGACGCAAAGGCGGTGGAGGGTCATGACGTCACGCGTGCGCCGCCACTCAAGGGCTGAACCGAGTGTCGTGTTCCGTCATGCGCTGCGAAACGCGCAGGCTGATGCGAGTCTCTTGTTTGGCACTTAAACTGATTGATTCCCGACCTCGTTGCGTGCTCCCTCACTGATTGGTGCGTGTTCCTGTCTGATGTGCTCTGATTGGTGTGAGACCACACCTTTTGTGGGTTGGTTAGACCCCGACCGTCGTGCTGTACGCTGATTGGTGACGCACGCGAACTGGCGCCCCTCGCTGTCCGCTGATTGGTGCGTGTCGGGTGTCGCCAGTGGTATCGCGGCTGGCCGGCCTGCTCGACTCGGACAACCGCGAGCTGGTGTACACCACCGTGGGCGTGCTGATCAACCTGATGACAGACCCCGGAAAGCGACAAGATTTTACCAGCTTCGGCGGCATCGACAAGTGAGGCTTGGCCGGGCCAGGCTGGCCTTCAGAGCCACGTGGCGGCGCTGGCAGCGATGACCAACGACCATCCTCAGAGACCATTGTCAGCGCGACCGACATATGCACGACCGACATATGCAGAACGACACCCCCGAGACCATTGTCAGGGCAACCGACACATGCAGAACAACAGCCCCGAGACCATTGTCAGGGTAACCGACACATGCAGAACAACAGCCCCGAGACCATTGTCAGGGCAACCGACACATGCAGAACAACAGCCCCGAGACCATTGTCAGGGCGGCCGACATACTCAGGACTGCCTGTCCAAATTGTTGACGCGCTCGGACGGGGGTCAAATTGACCTCCCGAGGGGTTTTCCGGAATACTTTCCGAACAGAGCGGCCACGCCGCGCCAAATTTTGCGTAACTGTAGACAATTGAATAGCAGATCGTGTGGCGTAAAGAAATTAGATGTAATTTGTAAGTTCGCTGACCTACGGCAGGTCAAAGTCGGCCCATGGATTCAGCGGTGAATTTCTGGGGAATCGTTTGATATGGTGGAACAACGGAGTGTTAAACGAAGCCAGACATCTCTGAGATACTTCCTTAGGCAGCACAACAAGTGAATGATCAAATTCCGTTGACGTAGGTCAGGTATGAAGGTCAAACTAAAGTCAAAACGAATCTGTTTTATTATTCTAGGGTTTGCTTTACGTGGCAGTTTCTGGTGCTTGTTTCGAATTGATTGATGGCAGGAATCGCATAAGACATGGTCTATGGACTTTTTAAAAGTCAGAATAGGTCACGGATCTAAAAAGACCCAGGTTAACATTTTGTTTTTAGGAACATACTGCCTAGCGTAATATTTGAAGCTCATTCAAATGCTAAACTCAAAGCAGTCTTTTCTGATTTTGGTTGCAATGATCTTCAAAAGGTCAAAAAGGTCACCGACCTTAAATGAGCACGTAACCTTTTGCTTAGAACAGGTATCTCGGTTATCCAGGTTCTGGGGACACTGGAGACCGACTTAGTGTTTGACCTTGCTTGGCCTTATTCGACCCTAAGGTCATGACGTAGGAACCCCGAACTTTAAGATATCGGGGGAGGGGTCAAATTGACCCTCCCCCGACCGGAGGAAAGGGTATCCCACCGGCCACCTGGGCGCGTCTTAAGGCTTGGGGGGATTATCCAGGCGAATGACAGCTATCGCCGGGTGAGGAGTTGTGTGATTCTGTTAGGCGAACATCATTTGGGTTTGGACCAGGAACACATCAATATCTACCTCGGGGTAGAAATGTGGCGTTGTGGTGACCTGCTCACTGATGCCCAGGCGTCCGTTCTCCTACACTGGGAGCACGGACATCGAACCACGTGGAGATGATTGTCAAAATCATAGGCACCGCGAGCGGCAAAATGGAAGCCCTCCCGAAATGTGTGTATGGGGTGGGAGCGCGTCGGCCATTTTCGGCCATTTCTTTCCAGTCAGCGCCCAGTGGGCTAATGATGACTTTTCTTTAGAATATTGGGAGGTTACAGCCCGTTCTCCTTGCCTAACCCCGTTTCCTCAGCTTACCGTGTTCGTGCTCTGTAACGGTGTAGTCTCGGGGATTTTGTAGCGGTTTTCGCGGAAGTGCCGCGTTTCTCTTCACCCATGACGCGCACGACACCGGCGGTGGGTCGGCACCTCACTACAGGGAGTGTGGCGCCGGTCCCGCCGGCCGCCCCAGAACTGGACCATACTGGCCGCCGGGCGTATGTGCGGCCGGTCCGTCGGCCGGCGCCGCCCGGTGCCGGCCGTGAGCGGCGTCCGGCGCACCGTACACACCCAGCTGACGGGTGCGCCCGCTGCTGCGCCGCAGGCTGGTGCTGGTGCTGGAGGACTTCGGCTACAGCGACTGGCAGCTGGCGGCGCTCGTCTGCAAGGTGCTGTGGAACCTGGGCGCCGACACGGACGACGTGGGCCAGGTCTTCTCCGAGCAGCAGGCCGACCAGCTGGCGGTCGTGCTGGACGAGTACCTCGGTGGGTGTCGCTATGGGCCCGACGCGGCCGTGCCTGGCGCTGGTCTGTCTGGTGATGTCCATGTGTGGGCCGGGGCGCCGCCGTGGGTGTCGCTATGGGCCCGACGCGGCCGTGCCTGGCGCTGGTCTGTCTGGTGATGTCCATGTGTGGGCCGGGCCGCCGCCGTGGGTGTCGCTATGGGCCCGACGCGGCCGTGCCTGGCGCTGGTCTGTCTGGTGATGTCCATGTGTGGGCCGGGCCGCCGCCGTGGGTGTCGCTATGGGCCCGACGCGGCCGTGCCTGGCGCTGGTCTGTCTGGTGATGTCCATGTGTGGGCCGGGCCGCCGCCGTGGGTGTCGCTATGGGCCCGACGCGGCCGTGCCTGGCGCTGGTCTGTCTGGTGATGTCCATGTGTGGGCCGGGGCCGCCGCCGTGGGTGTCGCTATGGGCCCGACGCGGCCGTGCCTGGCGCTGGTCTGTCTGGTGATGTCCATGTGTGGGCCGGGCCGCCGCCGTGGGTGTCGCTATGGGCCAGACGCGGCCGTGCCTGGCGCTGGTCTGTCTGGTGATGTCCATGTGTGGGCCGGGGCGCCGCCGTCGGTGTCGGTGTCGGCTGTCTGGGACCGGGCCGGGCCGTCTTGGTGGCTGGCGCACCCGTCGACGTGCTGCGTCTCGCTGCGTCTGGGTCTGTGTGGAGCGCTGCCGGACGCGGTGTTGCGGATGCGCCCGCGATTTCTGGGCGTCGAGTTGTCGGGTTGTCTGGTGACTGACAAGCAGCGCTTGATCGTGTCAGAATCGATGTGACCGGTGCTTCCGTACAAGTCCGCAGACCCAGCCCACAGGCGAAGCCATATGCCTGTCAATCTGTACATGCCGAACGGAACCTGTCTTGGGCTCTACTTCAACGTGTTACGTTTTGGCCTGGCCCAGTTTGGGCTGGCGTTCAAAGCGTTTCGTTGCGCCTGTGAACGGCATCGCTTTCTGCGCCTAGTACTGTATATTGCTGGTGATCTGGTACTTCATAGGCACTCATACCGCGCCGCTGCTGGGAGGTCCCAATTTGACACTCATACCGCGGTGCTGCTGGGAGGTCCCAATTTGACACTCATGCCGCGGTGCTGCTGGGAGGTCCCAATTTGACACTCATACCGCGGTGCTGCTGGGAGGTCCCAATTTGACACTCATACCGCGGTGCTGCTGGGAGGTCCCAATTTGACACTCATACCGCGGCGCTGCTGGGAGGTCCCAATTTGACACTCATACCGCGGTGCTGCTGGGAGGTCCCAATTTGACACTCATACCGCGGTGCTGCTGGTAGGTCCCAGTTTGGTACTCATACCGCGGCGCTGCTGGGAGGTCCCAATTTGACACTCATACCGCGGCGCTGCTAGGAGGTTCCAATTTGACACTCACACCGCGGTGCTGCTGGGAGGTCCCAATTTGGTACCGATACCGCTCCGCTGCTGGGAGGTCCCAAACTGATGACGGAAGGAGAATTAGCCGTGCGGAGTGGACAGCGCCGCTCCACACATGACTGGCGTAAACGTCCTTGATCCATATCTAGCTAAACACACACTTTGTCGTTCGCTTACTACCGTACCCCAGTTGCGATTCAGCGCGTTATCTGACCACAGCATGCGAGCATCAATACAGGCTCGTAGGAGCCATGGAGGTGGGCTTTGCCCGCAGGTGCCTGGCGCCGTGCCGACCCCACGGCTCGCGCCGGCGCCGGCCGCGGGTCAGCTCCGCCTGGCGCCGGGCGCGGACTGTGCTGAGACAAGGAGCGACCGGCCGCCGCCGGCGTGTGCCCGCCTGACTGTATGGAGCGTGTCCGCAGATGACGAGGTGTTGTTCCCGGAGACGGGGCTCACAGCCGAGGAGCAGCAGATCGCCACCATGCTGCGGCCCCTCTGGGAGGAGTTCGCCGACGTGGCCGCCAGCCTCCTGGAGAAGCTGGACGAGTCGCTGGACGCCGCCGCCGCCGCCGCCGCTGCGCCCACTGAGCACACCAAGACCGCCTAGACGACTCCTCCGCCACCAGCGCCGGCGCCGGCCGCAGACAGCGAGTCCCTCCGGTCGGGAACAGCACCGCGAGGTATAGGCGGCACCACCAGCGGTCGGTGCTCTGCTAGGGGACGCGGCTGGGCCCTGGGGCGCCAGTGGCGGTGACGCGGTCCACTCGTCTGCTGCCAGGCGTGGCTGCACAGCTGCGGTGGTCACGCAGCGGCTGCGTCCGAGCGCCGGCGGGCAAGGGCTGCAGTGTCAATTCTTTGGGCCATGCTTCGGCCTCGGCGGGCTGCGGCCCTGCGTCGGGTGACATGTCGCGATCACCGTCTCGCTGCTGTGCCCGTTACGTGGCCGGCGACTGATCCTTGTTCTGTTTTGTATTTTTGCGCTCCGAGCTGGTGGTACCCCGCGTCGGCCGTCTGTCCGCGACCGTCAGCGGCACCAGAGTGACGCCAGTGTCGTCTGGTGGGCGCCGCCGCCGCCGCCGCGCTTTAGCGCCGATGATCGAACTCGGCTGCCTTCACCCGGTGCCGAGCCTGCTGTTCGCCTGCCTGGCGCCGCTCCTGACTGTGTCTGCGGCGTGTGACGCCGCTCCTGACTGACTGTGTCTGTCAGCCGTGTCGGTCTCCTTCACCGCGTGACGAGACTTGTTTGGCAGCCTCGGTGGTGGCGTGGAGCCTCACTGGCAGCTCCCCGCCGACCGTTGGACCGGACGTGCGCAGGGCAGAGGGTGCCGCACCTTGTGGAGCGGCCGCGGCGCGCCGCGCCCAGCCCGGTTCCCCGAGGGCGCGGGTGTCGGAGCCTGCCTCGCGGCGGCGTGTTTGACTGTGATGACGTGTGATCAGGGGTGACCTTTGCCGCGAGCGAGCGTGGCGTCGTACTGTGGAGGCTGCGGCACCGGCCGCCGGGTGCAGCTCTGTCCTGTCACGCACCGCTCGCTGCTTGCTGTCGGGCCGAGACGTGGCCTCCGGCGCCCGCCCGCCGTTTGCCGCCCTCGGGCCGCCCAGCCGCCCGAGGGCGCGCAGTCCGGCGGACGCCGTGTTCAAACAGCCCCCCAGCTCGCGGCGCACTGGCGGCTCAGCCGTGCCGGCGGAGCGTGCGGCGGCGCTTGTAGCGCGGTGTCGAGCACGATGCGTGTACTGTGTGCCTGTCGGTGGTGCTGGGAAGCTGTGCACCTCTCTTGGTTCTCCCGACGTCCTGGTCGAAATTCTCCGCTGACACGTTTTCCTCGGAATAAAGGACACCGTCGGCAATGGTTAATCAAGCGTTTATTTCCTTCCACAAAGCGAAATATTAACAACAGCCAACATACATAAAAGATGGAGAAGTTCAAAAATAAAAAAAATACTACCCACATGACATTCGAGGGAGAGCTGTTGAACGAAACAAAGGAAACAAAAGAACAACAATCCAGAACAGGGCAAGAACAGAGAAAGAGCTAGCTACGGATCCTCGGTGGAATTTCGAATTTGCTCTGTCGCTGGTCGCTGCTGCGGACGGTCGGCGCCGGCCGCGCGCCGATGGCTGGCCTTGCCGGCTTCTCCCGCGTCTAGTCAAGACTCTGCATGGCACTAACGGGATATCGTTACTTCTATACGCTTGGGGCAACTGAAAGTTATATGTATGGGTGGGAAGGGCCTGGGTTAAGGTGGAAGGAAATATATACGTTCATCTCCCTTACCCATACATGTAGCCTTGAGACAGTAAGGCCCCCAAGTCCTAGCTGTAAGGCATTTTCGTGTGCCGCATTATTTTTCCTATGTACAGTCGAACAGCACTCGCTCGAAGAATTGCTACGCACGGAAAATAAATACATCATCTCAAGTCAGCATGATCCCTACGGGTAAAACGCAATCGAAGTGAAGCAGGGCCGACTAGCAGTTGCAGTATATCACGCTCTCCCCCGGGCAGTGCCACGCCCGTGTTATCGTGTGCTCTCGCCGGGGCGCCCTCTGCACTACCGGGTTAATGAAGATCGGGTTAGTCAATCGTGTCGACACGGCGTGCCCTCATTCAATCCGCTTTACGACGGCGCGGTACCAGGTACCCACGTCCGCGTGTGCCTGTCTGTCTCCCTGCCTGTGTGCGTGTAACGTCCTGTCGTGTGATGCGTGTGACGTGTGAACGCGCGCTTCGGGCGCCATCTGCGGCGCCAGCGTTCGCGTGCCTGGGTTAATCTTCACGTCTAGCACCCCTATGTATAAAATTGCTCATGATATTGCACGCCTAACCATTCGCACCACGACGCATTCACACGCAAATGTCTACCAACACAAAATAGAGAGAAGTCGAAGCCAGACGGCCGGACCGCCGCCGCCGCCGTCGCCGCCCTGCTCTGCCCCGCCTGGCCGTTGCGCACGCTCATCCGTCCTCACGCGGCCGCTGCCGCTGCTTCAGCTTCCGCCTGCCGTCGACAGGTGGCGGCGCGCTCACATTAGTCGTTGCTTGGCGCAGTCCGGGCAGAGGATGTCCGAGGCGTCTGTGATGAAGCCCTTGCCCACCAGCGAGTTGCTGCAGGTGGCGCAGATGAAGCAGTCGTTGTGCCAGTGGCGGTCCTCGAACGAGATGAACCGCGTGCCGCCGATGCCTGCGCGGCGAGAACGGCGAGTTAGGGCTCGTGCCTATGCTGCGGCACCGCCGCGCACCCGCCCATCAATGGCACAGCGGCGCACCGTAGTCAGCGGCGGCTCCGGTTAGACACGGGGCAGCTACGTCGGTCACGAATACCGATCCACTGGCCACCGGCCGCACGTGAACTACACGCATCTGGATGCAGCACAATTTACCATGGCAATGCTAAGAAGTCTCGCGGTAACCCACATTGCTCTGAACGCAACGAACGTATCGCAGCACCACGACAGCCCAGCCCAGCCTGCCGCCGCCGCCTGGGCAGCCTGGCATCCCCTGTGAGGGCCAGTGGTCCCCGAGGTCCAGCGGGGCAGCGGCCGGACGCCGCTCACCGGTGATGGGCCGGGTGCACGCAGTGCAGCGCTTGGCGAACAGCTCGCCGAAGCAGTCGGCGCAGTAGGGCTTCTCGTCGCGGCTGGTGAACCGCTGGCCGGCCAGGCTGGTGTTGCAGTTGGTGCAGGTGAAGCACTCGCGGTGCCACGGCTGCTGCTTGTACGTCACGCCACCCGTGGTGATGATCTGGCGGCGGGAGGGACGGTGTCAGCGACGAGGCGAGAATGAGCCGGCGCGCCGGCAGACATCCGGACGGCGGCCCGGCACACATGTCAGCAACATACTGAATTTGGACGCAGACTAGTCGCATTGATGATGGTCACCTTAGAGCGTCGATAGCTAGCTGGCACAGCGCATATGGTAATTAGAGTGGGGCGACATACACAATAAATGCTGACAACACACAACACGGCAGAGCGGTCGAGGCCGCCCGTACACGCTGCATAGTGTGGGCTCCCGGCTGACAATCGGGCAGCTAATAAGTCCCGTTAAAAACAAAGCTTTCCCTCAGGGAACACAGTGGCAGAAAGCCCGAGGCGCTGGACGGGCCGAGAGCTCGTCCGGGGTCTCGCATCAGGTCCCCAGTGGGCGGACGCGCCGGGTGAGGCCGCGGGCGCCAGGCGGCCCGGCGCCGACGCCCACCTTGTCGCACTTGATGCAGCGCGTGGCGAACTTCTCCTCGTAGCAGCCGGTGCAGTAGATCTCCTGCTCACGCGGGATGAACGACTTGGTGCCGATCGGGGTCTGGCACACGCAGCAGGCGAAGCACTTCTCGTGCCACTGCCGGGTCTTATACTCCATCTTCTTCGTGCCTGAAGAGCAGGGCGGTACACGGTCAACGGCCGGAGGCGCGGAGTGACGAATCACGCCAAAGGACTACGTTCGGGACAAGACGGGGCTGGGGACGCCAGATCGCGTGGACTGGCTCGAGCTGATGAGATGGTGACGGGGCTCTGGTGTCGCATCGTGAGTTGCACGAGGCCAGCCGCCATCGGGCGTTGGAGCGACGAGTGTCCAGGGACAGACGTCCGGCACCCGACCGGTTCCATGCATCCCAATCGGACCCGGACGCGGTCAAACACCTAACAACAAAACACATAAAACACTGACAAACACCAGCGACCCCAACATCCGTTTTTGCGCGATGACATAACGAGCTGGCAATGCTGTCCGCTCAGCAGGCTCGCCGGCGTGCTCCTCGGTAAACACGGCGATGGCATACACGGCGCGCGCCATCGCCAAATCTCGGGCCGCACCGTCAACAGAGCCCGGCGGAGGCCGCGTCGGCTGATCGATGGCCCGCTCGCCGCCGCGCCGGCCCCGCTCGTAAACACGCCACCGTGACGTCGACAGGCCGTCGCGCGCGGCCCGCCGCCGCTGGCCGCCGCCGCGCGGCCGCTTCCGCGCTCCGGATGGCAAGCGGCATGCGAGCGTCGCTCCCGACGCCGCTGGCCGCCGTCGCGTCACCGACCCCCGGGACCCCTGGCGGCGAGCGTCACTCCCGCCGCCACTGGCCGCCGTCGCGTCACAGACCCCCGGGGCCCCTGGCGGCGAGCGTCGCTCCCGCCGCCGTTGGCCGCCGTCGCGTCACCGACCCCTGGCAGCGAGCGTCGCTCCCGACGCCGCTGGCCGCCGTCGCGTCACCGACCCCCGGGGCCCCTGGCGGCGAGCGTCACTCCCGCCGCCACTGGCCGCCGTCGCGTCACCGACCCCCGGGGCCCCTGGCGGCGAGCGTCACTCCCGACGCCGCTGGCCGCCGTCGCGTCACCGACCCCCGGGGCCCCTGGCGGCGAGCGTCGCTCCCGACGCCGCTGGCCGCCGTCGCGTCACCGACCCCCGGGGGCCCCTGGCGGCGAGCGTCACTCCCGCCGCCGCTGGCCGCCGTCGCGTCACCGACCCCCGGGGCCCCTGGCGGCGAGCGTCACTCCCGACGCCGCTGGCCGCCAGTCGCGTCACCGACCCCCGGGGCCCCTGGCGGCGAGCGTCGCTCCCGACGCCGCTGGCCGCCGTCGCGTCAACCGACCCCCGGGGCCCCTGGCGGCGAGCGTCGCTCCCGACGCCGCTGGCCGCCGTCGCGTCACCGACCCCCGGGGCCCCTGGCGGCGAGCGTCGCTCCCGACGCCGCTGGCCGCCGTCGCGTCACCGACCCCTGGGACCCCTGGCGGCGAGCGTCACTCCCGCCGCCGCTGGCCGCCGTCGCGTCACCGACCCCCCGGGGCCCCTGGCGGCGAGCGGTGGCACCGAGGCAGGATCACGTGCGGGTGAGGCCACCGGGCTGCAGGTGCCGGCAGAGCTGACGAGGCCGCAGCGGCGCCGGCGAGACGGCCGGCGTCCGAGAAAAGCCCGGTTTACGCGGCGGGACGAGAGCCACCCGGCGGTGGCCAAACCTTGCAGCCACGGCGCGCTGGCGACCGACAGCGGGTGCTGCGTCAGGGCTCGCCCGGTGAACAAAGGGCCTGGACGGAGGAGCGGCGCAGGGGAGGGGAGCTCATTCCACCAACAATGGCCCGCCGGGCGAGCGGTCGAACAACCAACCGCGAGCTCGCCGCCAGTTCAAATAACGCCAGCTATTGTAGCGGTAGCTCCTCGCAGGCGCCGTTCGGCACGCCTCGATATAGACAGAGGGAGCCCCTGTGGATGCTTGAGGCAAATAACATGACGCGTGCCAGGCCATGCGATGACTGCCAATGACTGCTGGTAGGCGACAGGGAGCCCGGCCGACCGCTCCTCCCACCGCTGCGGCCAACCACGGCCCGTTCGTCTGCACCGCGGCGGACCAACCCACAGCCCGTGTTGTCGTCGGGGTCGTGTCGGCCGTCCCCGGTCGCTCTGTATGCAGCGCCGCCCGGCCCGCCCGTCCAGACGGCATCCCAGGGGCGGGCCGCTCTGGCATTCACCGGCCGCAGACGCCGATATGTAAAACGCGTCCACAATTGTTGTTCCGATCGGCACGGTCTGTTTTTGCAGCCGATGCCTCTGCGAGCTGTGGACGACCAGAAATAATCTCCAGCACCTCTAGGAGAGACGTTTATGCCGTACAGAACCCACTCAAAACATGCCGCCAGCGGTTTCGCTGTGTGAGCGGTTTAGGGGTAACCTTTCCTTTCTGTGAGCAGGACTCGTCCTGTTCTGGAAATGGCTTGGTAATTTTTCAACAGCTTTCGACGCGACGGCGAGAGGCATTCAGCTCACCGGTGGGCTGACAACGGAGCTTCCAATGCATTCATCCCCAGGGGAACCAACCGCCGACAACACGCATTTCGGGGAGAGAGAGAGAAACGGCAACCTTCACCCGCGACGAACGCGTGCTGTGGTTTTACGCGCGTATCTCGCCGACGTCCGAATAAACGTCGGATCCGAGTAAAGGTCGGATCGCTCGTGCTCCGACCAGCGTGGCTGTTCCACCAAGCTCGTGTTGCGCCGCGGCCCGCGACTGCAGCTGCGCCACGACACGGCACCGCGCCGCGCCAGACTCTGAACAAACGACTGCGCCCGCCTGTGTGCGGCGCTTCAATCAGTGCCCGCCCTGAGCAAACCGGCGCCGGAGCGTTCCAATCAGGAGCCCGCAGGCGACCGGCCCGAATCGATCGAACTGCCGCAGCCAAACACGGTGGGTGACGATATGAACAGCACGAGGGAGGTCGGCCGGTCAAATCACAGGAGCGGACCGCCGTCGAGGGGAACGCGCACCGCCTGCTGAGCCGGCGTGGCGGACCGCGGCCTGGAAGGAGAGCGGAGGTGCGGTCCTGACGCGCTCCGAGCCTGACCTGTCGCGGTCGGCCAGGTCGCACCCTGGCCTCCGCTCAGATGCGGCGGGCCAGTATCACAAGCCGGCGGTAAGCGCCGCTGGAATGTTGACTCTTCCGTCAGACTCATCACGAGCGTGACGACCAGCACTTCATCCGGCCGACCTCGCCGTCACAGAGCGGCGGGCCGCGCCGCCGGGGGGCGTTTGTCCTCTCCACCCCTCGCTGGCCCCACCGAGCCTGTGCCAAATCGACACCGGCCACCAGTTCGCGGCCGACACTTCCCCTCCCCTGCACGCGCCGTCTGGCCTCCGGATCACGGCAGGATCCCGCACCGCCCGACGCCCGCCATCACTCGCGGGTGATCGTGAGTCGCAGCCACCCAGACCCCGGCGGGCATCAGACCCAGCAGACGGATCACGCTTCAGGTGTGGCGATCACCACCAAGACAAGGCAGTCACGGCAGCGAGGCCGTGACACAGACACGTGACGGGGGAAGCCTAGGAGAGATGCAGTGCTACCGATGGCGACATAGAGCTCTGCGAGCAAGTCCCGAGTCATGCAGCCCCGCTAGTCTGCGGTGTTGGGAGGGGATGGCGCTCGCGGGCAGACCGGCTGGTCTCGGTCGGCAGACGGCGAACGAGCCGCGGAGTGCTGAGCGCGTGACGCAACAGCCGTGGGCGCTGACCGAGGCGAACAAGCTGTCGAAGCACCAGGGGGTGAGTCCATTCTCAGCAGCCACAGCGGTCCGTTAGCGCGCCGCACCCTCCGCCTGCGGCGCCTGGTGCCGTCAGCTGCAGCCCCCTCCCGGACGGAGCGACATTTGACGACCCTGACGGGAGCACGGACACCGGCCGGGCCGGACCGTCGTAGTCCGGCGCGCCGCCCGCCTGCGCGCTCTGTTAACCCCGGTGTGTACCGCCCGCCTGACAGCCTGTAACTCTCCGGCCGAGGGCGAAGACCGGGTGACATCATGGATGAGCTCACCACCTCGGAATGCATGGGCTCCTGGCCCGGGCGACCCACAAAAACCCGTGGCCGGTCGTCCCCCCTTTGGCCGCCCTCCACCGGGTCACCTGAGGTCCCGCCGCCCAGACGGCCCCGCACCTGTCGTGGCGTGGAATGGTGTCGGGGCGAGACCGCACACACCTGTTGCCGACGGGCATCAGAAGAGCTGCAAACGTTCACGGGGAAACCTGGCAACGTTCGCTGGCTCCTAGCTACTGTTATACAAACAGCGCATGCACCACTACCGCCTGTGACGAACGGAGGCCGTCAGTCTGAGGAAGTTGAGTCAGGCCCCATGCCACATCCTCGCCCAAGCGTTTCAATGTTGACATTCCACTCCAAAAATTGAGCTCCCAGATCGGCCTCGGGGGAGACCGGGAGCCGTCGCGGTCCACCTCGGCAGCCGCGGCCGCGCGCACCGCCGCCCGACCGCCCGGCACGCCCCGCGGCAACACAGCCGACCTTGAGAGCCAGCGCAGATGTTTTGACGGCGACGGCGCCGTCAAAATCGGTGCGTCACCGCCGCCGGCTCGGCAGGGCCGGGGACTGAGGGTGACCCACCCCGGGGCGCTGTGAGCGCCTGATGCGTCTCGCACGGAGCACGGCACCGGGTGCAGCCCACCGATTGTTTGGGTTATGCGGTGCCAGATCCGACAGCAAACATGTACTGAGACGGCTATTTCATAACATTAAAAATATCGCGTCTTGATCAGGAATGCTGGGATTCAATCCGGGATACACACAACAAGCACCCGGTCAGCCGCACGGTGAGCTGCGGGCGCTTCGTCGCAACGGGAGCCGAGTGCGCCGCACCGCGACGGCCGGCCAGCGGGCCGCCGGGCGGCCGGGCGGTCGGGCCCTGATAGCGGGGCGATGGGCCGTGATGGCGTCTGTTCGTCCCGCCGATCAAGGGTGTTGCACGGCTCGGCGTTAAGCCCGGTCGGCCGGTACCTGAGGGCGGCCCGCGCGCCTGCCGGCTGGGCGGACCATCGACCGCCGCCCTCCATTATTAACGGCCGACTCACGTGGTGTCGGGCGGACCGCGCCGGGCGCGCGTC